GAAGAAAAAAGACTAGCAGTTGCTTCTGCAGCTTTTGCTTTGTTTAGTGGTGCATACAGAAGAATAATAAAATGCAGTAGTGAATGTCATCATTAAATAAAAGCCGATTAAACTTTTATATTTACTAAAAGTTGAGTAAAGTACAACAACAGGTATTTCTGTGCACGCCATCATGTGTTACCATCCTTCTAATGATTTCACGAAAGTTTAGGATAAAAAATTATATTATATTCTTTTTGAGTGCGAAAATAACATATGTACTATCGGCATATGCGTTTTTGTGAATCACAGGTGTCAATAGACGCCGACAGATTGCGACAGTTCAGGCCATGCCGCGCCTTTGAAGCTACCGACTCGCGACGGATCGAACGCGCCATCACGGATCTTCCCGAGCCACTTCGGGCTATTCCTTTCTCATGGCGTGTTAGAGCGTGCTGGCTCGGTCCGGCCTGAAATATTATGGGTCGTGGGAAGCCACCTTAATACATCAACAATTAGACCCATCGGTGTACAGGCCTGACGCTGGAAGCTGGCGGAAATTTTAAAATGGCGTGGATGCGCGGTGGCAAAAGTAGGCAGTTTTAGGTATAAAGATTGCAGCCCTCATTCTTCAGTATTTCTGTCAGGGGCGTAGATTAAATATTTAAAAATAGGGATCAGTGAGCAAGTAATAGACAGACAAACATATAGAACTAATTGTTGATGTTGTTGACAGTGATAGAGGTTCCCATGATGACAGTGAATGTAAAAACTAACTATAAAACAAAAGCAATAGGTTTATTTTTATTTTTGGTAAGTTATGTTTGTACATTATTTTGTAGTACGCTACTGTCCTATCTGTATTAATACTATAATTTACGCCTACGGAAAGCTTATTTGTGTATCGGTTCCAAGTGACTTACCCAAATAGTTCATAAATGGGCAAGTACCTGCACGACCGCTCGCCAGCTTTCTTCGTCAGACCTGTATCTGGATTATTATTGTCTTGGTTTGTTAAAGGTGTATGTTTAGAGCACGGTGCTGTACGGGTGCGAAACATGGACAAGGGGCGCGGCGAAAAAGAAAAGGTTAGAGGCGTTCGAAGTGTGATGTTACAGGTGAATGATGAGGATACCATGGATAGAGACGATTAGAAATGAAGAGGTATTAAAAAAAATAGGAAAACAGAGGACTCAGTGGAAGTCAATAAAAATTAGGCGAGATAGGTTAGTAGGACACTTTCTCAGACAAGAAGGTCTAGTAAGAGACATATTAGAGGTGCGTGTCCAACCAGTCTTAGGACTGACGACCTTACAATGATGATGGGAGGGCGCAACAAGAATAACTTTATAATACACCATATCTACGTACCTGTAGCATAAAAACTGATAATAAGGTATTCTTAATTAGCAAAAATTAATTTCTGTGATGTATTAGTTACTGACTGAGTCTATCTTTAAGGAGCAAGGTTGCTCTATGATTAAACTACGTTATTAGAAAACAACGATATTCAGGTTAGTAATTCAAAAAGCAATGAATTTAAACATATTACCTAGCAATCTATTTATATAGAAGTATAAGTATGAATGGATAAATCGACTGACTGATATATCAACGCAAGTTAGAATCCTTGGGTCTATCGACTTCAAATATTTTATAGACGTTTTTTGTGTAATGTAGACGAGCATTAAGAAAGGATTTTTTAAAATTCCACCCGCAAAGGGGTGAAGACAAGGTTCAAAGTTTGATGTCTCGATCAAGGCGCAACCCAAACTGCTCAGTCATGAAGCTTGAAATTTTGCACAAACATAGCCCTTTTATACAGCGGCATTATCTACTACAAAAGCGCGAACCTTCTTTACTGCGAGGAAAGTTTTGATCACATCAAAATTTCTGTTAATAGAAAAAAAAACAGGCTGAGGTGGACTATCAATTCAAATTCGCTTTTAAGAAAATATCAGATAATGAGGTTAATGAAATTTTTTGCATCAGTAATTGTAATGTTTTAAAAATTCTCATTTGTAAAACCAAGCCCGATTCAATTTCATTTTAAACTCTACCGATTTGTATTCTCCAAGACTTGGGCAGGTACTTTAACATTGATTATTTTGAGTTTACGTGTTCATAATTTGTCCGTATTAGAGAAGGTCGAAACTCTGAAGCAATCCCTTAAAATTTCTAATTATTATTTTGCTGCGGTCGAGACATGTTATTAAATATCTTGGACGTGACCGTTATACCTAACGTAACCATTAAGATGTAAAGGATACCATAGCATTATTATCTAAATTGTACCTGTAATAAAGGAAAACGGTGTGATTAAGTACTTCAAAAAGGGAACAAAAGTTACTGCAGGATAACAACGTTTGAAGCCTAAGGGGACTTTTATAAGAANAAAATTTATTAGTATTCTGGAATGGCACCAAATTACGTTCCAAACGTTCTGATTCATATTACTTATCACCATCACAAAAATCTCATGTGATGAAACGTTTTTTTATTAACAATATATTATCGTACATGCTCATAATTTTACACTTTACAGTCAACGACAATTGTGAAAGTTTATGAAAATATGATTAATACTTTCTAAATTTCCTAAATACAGAGGATTAATATTGTACAAACTATGTACAATGATCCTTTTTTAATTAGCATACGTAAACAATTTAAAAAACCTTCGAGAATATCTTAGACAGCGTTGATAATTTATTTAAACAGGGTCAAAATGTAGTTTTAAGAAAGAAGAATGTAGAGGACGTTCATACACAATGATATGTAATTGGTAATTAATTGAATAAAAACAATGGGACACCAGTATTTAGAAGTTGACTTGATATTTTGTATGGATGTTAATTGGTGAACTTTTGGCTCGATTATTTTCTTTTTGTCGAGTATTTTGTTGTGATAGTTTACATTTGGATTACTTACTTTGAAACTTCTGGTCATAAACCTGTCGGTAAATGGACTTCTTCAGTCCAAATGTCTATAGGGTTATAAGGCTTTAGGGTTAGGGGTTTAAGGGATTATGAAGTTATAAATTTAGTGGAAGAGTTGATTGGTTACGGGTTTTAGGTTTAAAATAGTTTGGGATTATCATGATTTTAGAGTATATTTTGATGATATTCCTAAACCATGACGTGCTGGGGTTAAACTGACCGCGAATTTGGATTCACGGACCATAAATACATACAGGTTCACATTTTTCTTTTTTTAACGGTGTCAGAGGATTTTGAAGTGTTTTTGAGGTTATGACCAAACCCTGATGTGCTGGGGTTAAATTCACCTCGGATTTGGATTTAGCGATCCCAAAAACATAAGTGTACATAGTCAGACCGTCAGGCCGACAATTCTTTTTCTGTGTGCCTGTATCTATTATAGGAACATGAATAACTGCGGTGAATGTTTGAAACCGTTTTTAGATAAGTTAAATGAATGCATCATTTAACTTGACTATGGTTCCTACAAAAAAAATTTTCAAACAGTATAATAACGTAGCTAAAGTGGTTTGGAAAAAAATAATTATTCTAGTTTGTCGTTACCCCAGTAAACGCACATTTTGTCATTCGGTTTAAATATTATGTACATCCTTTAGGAATATTTACAAATTACAATATTTGTACAACTACAAGAATATTGAAGAAACTTCTTCTCAGCGAATTCAAAGGAAATGGGTTTATGTCCTATTTTCATGCGTTTCTGTCTATTTTTAAACTGTTATTGCTGTTTCAAATATACACCTTTTAACATATATTAGAGAAACTAAGAATCCAGTTTTGCAACTCCCAATAACATCAAAATACAAATAACGAAATTTAATGAACTTTGCTTGAAAAATCTAGCTAATAAACCTTATGAGAATTTAAAAGCTGTGCAAGTAAGTACCACTTTTATGTCATTTAGGGCACCAAAAATAACACAGTTTTGTTGCAGTTGAAATATTGGAAAACACTCGTCGATAGTTTTACAATTGACTGGGATATTATCTGGTACAGTGTGGTGGTCTAGTTAAGTTTGTTTTAAAATAATTTTAAGAAGTCACCTATTAACTTATTACTTTTATTAGAATTATTCTTTGTTTCGTTATTTATTTTGTTTACCGAAGGATACTAGTTTCATATCGCCTCAGACGGCTAAAAACTGTGATTAGTTCAACTGACTGAAAGTATACTTCATTTATTTTTTCTAGCGATGTGACCCTTCCAATGTCCTGAATGCGCGCCGGCAAAATCGTAGGTAGGGAGAAAAAAGCTCATTATACTCTGGACTCTTGTTCATTATACATACTTTTTCATACAGTAGCTGCCAAAAATTTTGTTCAATCATGAATAATAGTGCGAGTCGAAAACGTTAAAGCTTTTAATATGTCTTCAAGTATAAATAAACATCTCGTTGATATTTTCAGTAGTTAATGGTACCAATAACAGCACATTTGAGCATTGTAATTTTAGTGAATAAAATGGTCGTTTTTCCGTACAGTACTGTACGGTTTATACGCTCCTTACCGGTTAAGAGTTTGGCCGAGAGTTGTCCTTCCTTTTCTGGCCTAGTGCTGTTCTTTTCTACTTTGCGCCAGTCAAACTGAAGGTCACATCGCTAGAGAAACTAAACGAAGTATAAATTAGAGCATGTACTTTGTCGTTGTAATAAAGTACAAGCCTCGTCAGTCGTACGTTATACTCGCCATTATCCGTACCATTATTTCATTCATTTAAAACACATGTAATGAAATTCCCTATAGTTGGTCAAACCGTTTCCTATAATGTATATAAGCACTTATGAGAATAGCATGCAATATGAAGTTCTTGTAAGGGCCAATTTGCCACCTTGATATTACATAGGTATCTTCAAACGACAATTGATCACAAAGTGCACCATTCCCTTGCCCTGTTTCTTGTGATAACATCGTCGATCTGTCTGTAGCAGAGAGTGGTTGAAGTTGGTCCCAAATTATCGTATATTTCATTGTCGGTTGTATCGTTTGTCAGCCGGTATTTCCGTGTCACTGGTTCTAAGGACCCTTACAAATTGAGGGCATTTGCGATATGATACTTACACGAGCCGAATTTCAAGGGGCATCGCTGGATGTCCATTGGGAAGTCTTCCAAGTTCATAGGGCAACCAGCTTTTATCGTCAACCTAGAGATTATATACAAAAAGATAAGAGATCAGCTCTTTTACATGCCGTATAGATATCATACATATGAGATATAATCGAACATACTAATATTTAAGAAAAGTACCTTCGAGTTTTAACGCTAAAAAGAAACGGTTGAGAAAATTAACATTGAGTTTTCATTTGGTAACTATTTTGTTACTTTGTACACCCCCCCGGTGATCTTGGAACCGGATTATGTTGTTCAGGGGATTATGCTGAACCATATTATGTAGCTATGTTGGGCGCGAAAAGTATGTTTTCGCATAAATTTCTAATGTCGAATACTGTAATTATTCAAACATATCGCCCGTATCTGATACAATCCTGCCAACCTCCTTTTTAGCGAACTATGTCGGATATGCTTTAGTCCCACGTCATAAAACTAAATATTTATGTTATAATGTGGTTGGGTTAGGTTAAAATCTCTGCGTGAGCGTCACATTAAGCATACGTATGTATACTTCATTTACTTTCTCTAGCGATGCGACCTTTCCAATGTCTTGGATGCGCACTGGCAAAATCGTAGGTAGTGACATAAAAGCTCATTATACTCTCGACTGTTGTTCATTAAACATACTTTTTCATACAGTACCTGCCAAAAGTTTTATTCAATCATGAATAATAGTGCGAGTCGAAAACAAGCGTTAAAGCCTTTAATGTCTTCAAATATAAATAAACATCTCGTTAATATTTTTAGTAGTAAATGGTACCAATAACAGCACATTTGAGCAATGCAATTTTAGTGGATAAAATGGTCAATTTTTCCGTGCAGTACTGTACGGATTGTACGCTCCTCACCGGATAAGAGTTTGGCCGAGAGTTGTCTCCTTTCTTTTCTGGCCTAGTACTGTTCTTTTCTACTTTGCCCCGGTCAAACTAAAGGTCACATCGCTAGAGAAACTAAACAAAGTATAGTTTTTACCCCTATTTCTAGTCTTCTTCTTACTAATGTTAGTACGAATAACAGAATTCATAGTCAAATTATCCTAACATATTGTTTTCTGCATGATGCATGACGTTCCTCAAATCAAAACTTGTAGCAATTATTTGAATTTATATATAGCTATATTAATAATAATGAAACCGGACTGCTATTCCTTAACCAATTCGAAGTGTTATTATTTTTTTTTATGAGACATTTAGCACAATTAGCTTAACTTCCCATGCGTCAAAAATCTTAAGTAAAATTGTACAGATGAGGATGGAAAAAAGGGCGGAAGAACAATTAGGGAAAGATCAATTTGGGTTTAGAAGAAATAGAGAAACGCGGGGGACCATTCTAGCTTTACGGCTAACAATAGAGAAAATGATAGAAAAAGGAAAGAGTGCGTACATAGGATATAGCAGTATTAGCGTCTAGCAAGGAGGAGTTAGAGATAGCTTTAAATAACATGGAAGCGGTATTGACAAAGCAGTACTGTATGAAAATAAATAAAAGTAAAACAAAAATACTGGTATGCAAGGGAAGAAAAAGTACGGAAAGGGCGAATATAAAGATAGGAGACGAAAAATTAGAAGAAGTGGCTGATTTTAGGTATCTAGGAAGTCAGATAAGTCAGGACGGAAGGAGTAGTAGGGATATAAAGCAGAGGATAGCGCAGGGTCGAGCCGTCTTCAATAAAAGAAGTTACTTTTATGCTTGCGAACTGTTAATTTAGAAATCCGGGAAGATTGTTGAGGGTGTATGTTTGAAGCGCGGCACTGTACAGGTGCGAAATATGGACGGTGGGCGCTGCAGAAAAGAAAAGGTTAGAAGTGTTCGAAATGTGGTATTACAGGCGAATGATGAGGATAACATGGATGGAAAAGGTTAAAAATGAAGAGATATTAGAAAGAATAGAAGAATAGAAGACTATGGAAGTTAATAAGAAATAGGCGAGATAGGTTAGTAGGACATTTTCTCAGGCATGAAGGTCTAGTCAGAGACATACCTATTAGAGGCAGAAACGGAAATCAGGAGGGGTTGAGGTAGACCTAGATTAGAGTATGATGATGATGAACATTAAAAAATTAGATGAATAAATTTTTACGTAAAATCCCTTAAAATTAAAAAGTATTTTGCAGACTACATAAAACAATAAAATTGATGGTCATTTCAAAATTGAGCCTAATACACCTCTGATTTAGTTCATATAAACATAATGTTTTGATATCTACTATTTGAGACCGATAAACGTTTTTTGCCAAAAAATTAATTTATTTTGTCGTATATACCTGCATATAATTTTTTAACGAAACGATTGCAAGATCCTATTAAAACACAAAACAAAAAGCTAAAAAACAACATTTTATATTCATATGAATTCCATTAATTTAATGTCGATATTTTATAAATCCGTACGTACACAATACTCGTATGAAAATGTTCTACATTTTCAAAAAATTATCTGGGACTATACAGATGACGAGCTGAATAAAACTCATTTGCATATATTGACATACGTTGCTTTATCATCCCGTTCAAATCCTCCATTCGTGACCAGAACTTAATATTAAAGATTCAACCTGCTTTTCATAAGTAAATTTAGTTATGTAAGTCATCTAATTTTGATTGCACGTGTTTTTTAAAAATCATAGAAAGGAACAGCAAACAAAAAAAGATCAATTTTAAAATGCTCTTTGAAAATGGCATTTCTTGCAAAATCATTTTTGCTACTTATTCACATTTTCTTGCAATAATTTTTGTTTACTTCACCCTTATCCGTTAACTCTTTAGTTCCAATACCCCCTATTTGCAGTCAGCTGTGCGTCTACATAAAGACGTAACCTCCTCCTCGCCAAAATTTGTCCCAAAATAAAAAGCAATTCAGTTTGACAAATATGTACATTGTAGATGTAATGTAACAGTTAAATATTAAACAAAGTATTACTTGACAGAAATAGCTTGTCCCCTAGAATGTTTACGCCCAACGATGCGCAATGGACATGGCTGATATTGTAATGGAGCATTCAGTTTGGTCGTCATGGTTTCATGAAAACATGACGGTGTAAACAAACTCGTCCCTTACTATCACAAAGTAACATTAAATCTGAATCTTCAACGAAAGATATCATTAACAATGATTTTTTACCTAATTTTGGTGGTAGGTAAATGCATTCAAAAGTTATTTAAAATACAAAATGTACTATTGGGATCCGTCAAATGGGCATAAACTATCTGGTGGCAAAAGTTATAACTCGAATGAGGGAAAAATTTATATAGGAACTGTGCACGCAAATTGTAAAATTGTTTATTAAAATAATAAAACACGTTAAAAAAGTATAGGCTTATAACACAGTCGACATATTTGCCGATAGGGGCAAATTTTTAAATCAGGAGAATTTATAAAATAAAATTAAGTGGATCTACTGGGATCCGTCAAATGGCCATGCACCATCTGGTGGCAAAAGTTATAACTCGAATGAGGGAAAAATTTACATAGGAACTGTGCACGCAAATTGTAAAATTGTTTATTAAAATAATAAAACACGTTAAAAAAGTAAAAATTTTTTTGATGATGGAGTCGACGAAGTTTTCTTCTAAAGTTAAATCAAATAAAAAGTTAATATGTTCAGTGAA